CACCAGTGACTGTGGGCATTTGTGCTGTAAAACCAAAGGAGGGTTAATCTTGAAAGGGCAGTATCACAATAGTGTAGGTTTATCAAATACTCAGATGAGAATTTCTTCATCTAATCCTCTTCCTCTATGCTCAATGCCAAATGCACACAGCTGGACAGTTTCCAAGGATGAAGACGTTCAGAGTTATCACGGCAGGGTCATCTGTGATCAGTGATCAACAAATATAGGAAACTACCTCTTTGTGAATCGTTCGCAAGCACGAGGACCATCTGCAGTGCAAGTCGCACTAGACATGAATTCCAAAGCAATGTCAACTTGTTACAGCTACGGCAAACATGACAATGAAACTAGACTCACTGGTGTCAAGAACTGCGAAGCGCTAACGGGGTCCATGACAGGACTTGTGTACTTCCACGGGGTCACAGTATACTCACAGCGTCTTTGTAGTGGAGTTCCATGACAAAGCCAAACGGTCGCAGCGCCAAGGACTCGCTGGCCTGGAATATGTACTCGAGTGTGGCCTCCTTGCCTGGCTCGATGAGTGTGTTGTACTCCCTCGATGTGAACTATGGGAATGCAAAATGAGATATGAAAGAGACAGTAGCACTGATCCCCTTTGAGTCCATTTATGTGGGCATGCAATGACTGCACGCAGTGCGCAATGTGCTGTTTTATGTTTATACATGAAGGAGAGGGCTCTTGGTACGACGGTTACCGACTGTACGCGCGCCCAACAGTAAGGATCGCAGGTACGGAGAAAGAGGAGCTCAGCCGTGACCGTCAGTATGTGATGTCAGCAAGAATTCTGAGTGGCCAGAATGTGACATTTAAGAACATAATACCTCAGCGTGACAGAATTGGAAAAAAAAAAGAATGGCCTGGTTTGTACAGTGGTTCATTGTCCGAACGTGGAGTTTTGTTTGCTCTCAATGCAAACAGTCCCATAGAAAAACCACTGTGTTGGTTTTTTTTATCATGCAGAAGATCCTTTATTGCTTGATGTGTAATTGAGCCTTTACAGATTTCTGCTTGAGAACTTTCTGCATCCTTGAAAATCCTCCACTCAAAAGGAACCCTGTGATACATTATTTTTTTCTACTTTCGTGGGGCACCGTGTCTCTAGTAAAGCAGTGGAGGCTGGGCTCTGTCTTCTTGAATCCCACATCTTTCAAAGTCACGCATTGGATTATGGCAGATCTGGCAGGAAACGGCCAACACAGTATCTAATTAAGCCTTGTGAAAACATTACACAGTACAGCCAGTAACTTTTCAACACAAACACTGCCAACTGAAGACAAAATAAAACAATGCCAATGAAAAAGAAAATTATCTTGGCAGATGAAAGGAGTCAATCTAGAATAATGAAGTGGCTGGTTCGATGCAAAACCCATATACGGGTAACAAAACATGATGGTGGCGAACAGCTTGAGATTTTTTGGACCATTTTAATTTCTAATATCCAACAAAAGTTTGTTTGAAGCAATGAAAACTTACATTTGCAAGCTTTCAGTCAGTCAGTTTTGTGTAATTTCAATGAAACTTTTACTCAGAACTTTAATTCCTGACTTGTCAACATGAAGTCAGCTGGTTTTTTTTTACTTCCCAGGAGCATAACTCAAGTTTTAGACAACCTGGAATCATGAATTAAACAGTTTTGAATAAAGCACAGTGTCCTCAGTAATTTGAGGTATGCAACAAAAAATGCAAAAATTCTCCAGATCACATGGGACAGTATTTTACAGGATGTGGCATGGTTACAGAGTTAACATGTCCTCAGATTGGCGAGGTTGAGATCAGTGCAGCGCCACCGTCCACGGAACACGGAGTGACTCCCAAGTGGAATCAACGCAGCCGGACCAGGGCAAGCGAGCACCGGCTGAGGTGGAAGAACTCCAGCCTGTGATCGGATACTCACAAGCACTGGGTACCAGCAGCGCAGCCCCGTGCCAGGACGGATGGACGCATAAAGCTCAGCCCAAATGCCTTGCCTGGCACATCACTGGACAATTGGGAATCTCCAACTACTTGTCTGCGCATGGAAGCGCGCTGGCAGGGCAAATTGGATCTTTGCCTTAAAAACTCTCGTGTATTCTGGCAAGAAACCTTCCTACATCCCTCAAAATCCATCACGGCGCAGGAAATCAATAGCACATTATTAGCACTTCCAATTTCTGGGGTGCACCGGTAATGAGGCTCCACTTCCTTGGCTCGTCCCAAATCATCCCAAGGGTGGATTTTGAAGCATCTGGGGAGGGTAACGATCTTGCACTGGACCCCAGAAATCTTCAAGGTTCCAGACCTAGCATCATTGTGCTATATTAATCCTAACCCAATCCGTACTTTTATCGTGGGACTGTAAAAAATTGATATTTACTGGTGTGATGACACTTGAAAGTTTAGATACAAGAACGTGACAACTGGTTCCTTCATTGTAGATATATTTGGAGGACACTGCAAAGTTTCAGGCAAAAGTGCTTGGGAAGTTAGGATTTAAACCACTCGGTTCAATAAGCAATTTTTCTATTAATCTTGAAGACCAAACTCCTCATCTGGGAAATTTCACACCTGTTTAAAGGCTGGTTCATACTTCAGGCCAACACGAAAGCAAGGTGAATTGACGTCACGAAAGATTTCGAGTGAAATTTTGTTCCAAGTGAAATGTGTTAACCTTTTGCAAATTTGCAGTGCAACTATTTGACCTGACGTCACAAAGTCACATTTGCGTTCGCTTTTGCGCAAAGTTCAAACTAGCCTGAAGTCGTTAAACCTGTAGAGAGCGAGGAAGTTTTCGGAGCCACTTACGTTCTGGATGTAGTAGGAGAAATCCTGCGGGTAACGCAACGAGGCATGGATGTTCTCGACCATGTAGTTCTGTTTGCCGTTGTTGGTAAAGCCCACCAGGATCTGGATCAGCTTGTTCACTGGTATTTCTGGAAGTTTAAGAAAAATGGTTTTATCCTTCCCTTCAACCCTGCCGTTTATTTCGGCTGGAAACCCTGCATGACGCATCAGTCTGCATCATAATGTCAAAGTGGCCTGCCTACCCAGTGTGACAATTTTCAACAGGACAATTCTTCCCGATCAGTTCTGATTTCCCCCCCCCCACACAACATGCATCATCTAGCGTCAACATCTGGAAATCGGATTCCAGATTTTGGGCTTGTGTGTGCTGAATACCACCCTCGTAAATCAGTAGTCAAATTTAAACTGACAGTCAGCGATAAAAAGTCAACATTCTTCACATTACTGGTGTTATTCAACAGCCCTGCCATGTGACAAAGTAATATGGCTACACCGTAAATGATAATCAGTGATTGGCGAGACTCATTGAGACACTAGAGACAATTTTCTCACAACTCACTGTAAGTAACAGGAGTGTTGATACTTGACCCTTGACAATGCTTAACCAAACGAGTTCATGAAATACAACTTCACTGATATGAGTATGTCACATGCAGAAAAGACACCATTACAAGATCCAACCCATGAACCAACATGCGCGAGCACTCCCATTCGTTTGCACTACACTTTCTGGTTTCAAGTGACCTCACACTAAACTACTCCATAGTGGGTCAACTTTAGTAAGGTAACAATGTTTCAAATAAGTGGGCGTTTTTTATCAATTGGTATCACTGTGTCAGCATCATGATAGGTAGAATTGGTCTGTTTTCAGCAGGAAGAGACAATCCAAACGAATACTCCGAACCTTTGTCGGCATTCTTGGTGAAGAGCAGGGTGGTCTCGACATCCTCGGCCGCCTTGAGTTGTTCCTGCTCGTCTTCTTCCTCTGCCTCCTCCTCTCCCGTCTTGGCCGCGGCTGTCTTCTCCTCCCCTGCCCCGCCTCCTCCTTCCTCCTCTGTCTCAATCTGCCCGTCCTCGTCGTCTTCCTCGTCTTCCTCCTCATCCTCTATCTCCTCTCCCTCCAGCACATCTTCCACTGTGTCCTCTTCGGCGTCTGCAACTAGTGATGCTGGAAAAGAAAATGGCTGTCATGAATGAACACAAAACTCGTGACATCAATTTTTTTTTGTCAGTTGGAACTGCACATTTCAAATGGAAGGCTCAGCAAATCCCAGGCATGCATTTGAGAAGTCAGTAAACAGAGAAATTCCAATACTGTTCATTCTGTAGCATTGCAACCAAAGATTGTATAGCGCCGCGAAGTGGCGCACGATGGCCAACTTCACCATGAATACACGTAAAACGTCGTAATAGCATGGGCGCCATTTCAGCAAGTGATACGCGTGCGCAATGCACATTAATGCACAGGTGCCGTGGCAGGCACGTGCACCTGGTGAGCCTGCGCCCAAGCACTACCGTAAACTGCGCAGGCGTATCGCTTGCTCAAATGGCGCCCATGGTAATTATATCTTTTGGGCAGAGTTATCCATCTTGCGCCTTTGGCACTATATGATCTTTGATTGCAACCTCAGCCTAGAATCTTCATTCTGCCCTGCCTGCAGTGTATAAGCTAGGATTTGAAAAGAGGGAGTGCAAAATGAAAAATAGGGAGTGCAATCTTGTTAGAGTCCAAAATTTGCACGCGAACTTGAAGCATGCAACACGAGCACGCAGTGCAAAGTCCCTTACGGCTGGGATCCAGGGCCTGCACACGGGCCCTTGAAGCTCTGCCTATTTTAGATGCTCTCTGGTGGCGGCACTCACTTTTGTTCAGGCGGTACCAGAGCTGCCACACAGAATTTTTACTTTGGGAACGGGAATTGCAAACACCCATTGTTTGTCTCTCTTGCAGCATCGGACACAAACGGCTCGATTCGGTGAGGGAAAACCACAGTGCTGTTCTCCTGTACACGCATAAACTACGGACGTGCCTTTCAAAATGGAATGGACTGGCTGACTGACAAGTTGCCTTCAAAAAAGCTTGTGCTCAATAGACAGATAATGGATTTGCACTCAGGCGGTGCGCAAAAAATGCCTGTCTTAACCAAAATCTCGTAACATCCAAGCTCGTATTACACATTTTTCCCCTCACAGGAATGTGCCCAATTCAGTCTGGACTGGCAAATACGCTCGTCTAAACCGGAGTCTCATCTTATCCAAGCTCGTATTTCCGAGAGTCGACTGTACATGTGTCCTTCGGCAATTTGGCTAAGAACAAGCAAACTGAGTACAAGACTCGACTCCAATGTGGATGGAAAAATACATGCTGCACCGTGTGATGTTATCCCCTCCACCGAAAACGGTTGAGCCAAGATGCGGAGCAAACGCGGTCGTTGGTGGGCTCAACCCATGCGCATGAATGGAGCAACAGTCAACGGGTGGAAGCGAAAAATTGGTGAGCAAAAATCCCTTTTTTCAAAAATACTCTGTCTCATGTTCTGAAGCTTTTGTTATCCCCTTTGAAGGAGGTGGAGATTAAGCAGGTTTGCTGACAGGGGAAACTTTGATTTAATACTTTCTTATGGCTGTCCATTTAATCACAAAAATTCGATTCCAAAACCCCATAGCCGCATTACGACGCCATGTAAACCTTGACTCCTCCAACTCACACTGACCGAGTATCGCAGAGTGAGTGACCTAGAGTTCTCGAAGTATCTCATATGGTTTATACATGGGGTGCCATGTGGCATCCGTATATGGAACTCTTTCCACCCGGGACCTAAAAAAAAGTTACATGATTAATACAGACACTGATGCATGACAAAATTGACATTGGTCAGTTGGTGTTGCATTTATGTTAGGCCGGCAACATTATTGTTCCCAAACAAAAACGTTGTAATCAATATCATTCTTAGATTAAATAACAAGTTTTTAAAATCATTTTAGTAGTAGGGCCTCGGTCCTTTGGAACTTTTAACGTTAAAACATCGAGTGCGGTGCACTGTACTACAACTAAAGCACTAAGCCCAGGAGTATGCATCGTTACGTTAGAACGCGTACGCGTCAAGTGTCCACGTAGCACATCACCAGATCTTCAATGCTTTCAATATGCTGCGAACCAGACCCCATCGTTTGCTTACCACGATTCGATAGTAGTACTGAAGCCGGTAGAACCAGCATCAGTAGCAAAATGAACTTCGGCACAATCTTAAACATGATGTTTCGTGGATCCAATTTCCAGTTACAGCTGGATGATGACGGATTTCTAAGACAGGTTTCTCCGACTCTCCTGTCGGAAATTCACCTGTTGGATTAAAAGGCCCTGAAAAGGCTGGTTCCTTGCTACAAACGCTCAGATTACAACTTTCTCTGAACGTGTAACGCAGGGGAGCCAGATTTCAGTTTGAACCAGGAAAACAGCAGTGCGCCACCTATTGCTTCATAAGTAGGTGAAATGGGGGGCGGGACCAAAAGATGCTAAATGGTGGGGCGTCGCACACTTCAACATTTAAATGTAATTGGGGACTTTACTTCAATGGAATCAGCTACTCTTTGATTGATGAGTCGAAACTTGAGGGCTCAGTGTGATGATTTTAATTGCTTACTGATCCAATGAACGCTTTTTTTTGGGGGGGGGCTGTGTAGGGCTCTTTTGTCACTTGTTCTTTTTTTTGATGGTCGTGCTTGGAGGGCTCTTCCGAATGAACTGCAATCTTCCTTTAACACTGCAGGATGCACGAAATCAGACCATTGTTTTGAATTGTATTTATTTGTTTGCAGCATAAGTTTTCGCACAGAAATGGACAGGAAATTTTGTTCATAATGATGGGAACTTTGAATATTTAGCATTGGTGATAAATGACAACCAGCTGAAGCATGAGACTTGTACAAATGCCATGACAAGAAGCGCTGATTGTCCTTGCCTTCAAATAAAACAAGAGGACGCTAAACGTTAATGCTGCAAGCATTATCAGTTCTTTACGTTACAATGTTTTCAGCTCGGCCTTCTCTCTGGCTTCGGGAATTGCTCGTGGTATCAAGACAAAACGGGACCATGCTTACCGTTTTGTTATCACAACGTACACTGTCAGTATAAAACTGTGAGGAAAATTTTATCCGAAGATAATCCAGGAGGGAAACTGAAACTGCTTTTAGTGGGGACATTTTTAATTAAAAAATTACAGGAATTTTTTAAAAAGAATATCATATTTGCTAAAAACGAGGCAACCCAATAAATTTTCTGCCGATGTTGAAGTTTTTTTTTTGCGGTCGGTGAATTTCGGAGAATTGGGCTATATCCTCCAACCCGACCCCCCCCCCCGACTCCAACGTCGTGTCCACACGGATTTTGGGGAACTCGGTAACTCCCGGATTGGACTGCACCCTGGTCGTACGCCGTGCAAAGCTCCGGACATCTACATGTACCGAACATGTAGTACCGCCGGACGCATCAATCGCATAGGTATGTGACGTGGTCATGTGACGTGTTCCGCGACACACGTCGACGCGAAACGTGTCCGTGACTTTTTCCCTGGTTCCCGGTACGTCAGCACAACGCGTCGTGTGGGCCATCGATGGGGATACCGGGCCCGGTTTGTCTAACCAGGTTGGCCACATTCTAAAAGCACAATACTGAAGAGGCATCCGAGGAAACTGAGGCGCTCTGGCCTTCGCTTCTTCCTGTGGTGTGGACATCAAAATCAGTACGAATGGTTTACGAAACCGCGGATGATATGTCAGCCATGAAAAAACTGAGTTTGCGGAAGGGCATTAAGTCGCCCTTTTCCCGCAAATCGAGCAAAAAGACGACAAGATTAAACGCCACGGGGACTAACGTAGTTGTTGGCGACGACTGCGCAATTGTGGCTTCGCCAATACTCGAAGAAACTGCAGCTGACATGGCTGAAGTATCGTCCAACAGCCAGCCAGATATGGACACCAAAACCCAGTCTGTCACGACAAAGGGTTCCTGTGGCAAGTCGAACAAATGGCCGTTCAGAAGTCGCCGATCTGAGGACAATGGCAACGTAGAAACCGAACCCAAGACGGGCCTTTCTGATGGCAGCGCAGACAATGGCGAACCCGGAAGTACCGTGGAAAATAATGGAGGCAAGAAAGGGACGGTCAGTGGTAATGACGCACGTGCGGCGGTTGGCAATCAACCCAGACCCCCTGCTGAAACTGGGACCAAACATCAGTTCCAAAAAAATGTTAAAGTCGCAGGTTATGTGGTTCCGTTGCGACGGCAGCATGATCAATCTGTTCTTTCTGTCAGTCACAAAGCGAGCCATAGTCTCGGTGACACAACGCTAGACGTGAGCCAGAATGGCTTTCATGATGAGGAGGATGCTGAAATGTTGGACCAGTGTGACACATCAAGCAGAGACTTCAATGGTAATCCACCTGTCTCAACGGTACTAGCTAATGGTACAAAAGGCATTCCACACATGTCGACAGACGCTTTGCCGCATGTTACCAGGGAAAGGCCCATTGCACCTGAACTCCCACCACCACTGAAAAATCATCAGTTTCAGCCAGAGCTCCCTCCGAGGATTCCACCTAAGCCAGCCTCACTCAGATACCGGCAAATTTCTTCCACAGAGCCATGTTCCAGTTTCACAGGAACGAGCGAAGAGCTGGATGACGACTTACCACCACGTCCGCCGGCAAGACCAAAGAATCGCACCCTGGGTAAAGGATCACTAAGGCCTTGGAATAACCTACGAGATGATGCCCGGGACAACAGGGCAACTGTGTACGAAACCGTCAGTCTTGAGCCAAAGGAAGCCTCTTTGGCCAAGGAGTTATCCAGGCTGCCTCGCCAGGCGTGGTACTGGGGTCCCCTGACCCAAGCCCAAGCTGAGGAAAAGCTGGCCAAGTTGCCCGACGGGAGTTTCCTGGTCCGGGACAGCTCAGATGAGCGCTACCTTCTCAGCCTGAGCTTCAACTCGCACGGCCGCACGCTGCACACACGCATCGAGCACCGGGGTGGGCTCTTCAGCCTCAACGACTCAGACGGCCACGCCTCCGTCGTCGAGCTGATCGAGTGCGCAGTCAAGGAGTCGCGGAATGGCGTGTACGGCTACATGCGGGATGCCCTGGGGGTCCAGTCCTTCCCAGCGCGGCTGACAAACTGGGTCTCACGATTCACGGAGATGCGGTCACTCCAGCATCTGTGTAGATTTCTCATACGAGAAGTTTATCCTCGCCATCATATCCAGCGGCTTCCTTTACCCAAGAAGATCAAAGAATACATACTGGAGAATCAGTACTAAGAGAAATATTTACAAGGACAGAATATTGCATCCTGCCTCCACTTTTGTTGTCACATCATCTCTCAATAAAGGTCAGTCTTTGTAGAAATGCTGAAAAGACATGAATCTTGGATGGAGAAAAATTTCCAATTTTGTAAGGAAATATTTAGAAAATGTTTTTGACTGGCCATAGACTTTGCACGCAACTGTTGAAGCAGAGTCAAGATGCAGCATTCTTTCCTATATTTACATCAGATGTACGTGCAGTGACGAGCATGGGCGGAGAAAGAGGAGGGCCAAAGATTTCTCTAAATCTAGGCTTTTTAATCTCTGTCTTATTTTATGAATTCAGTACCCCAAGTTTTAGACCCTCAATGCAAAACCCTGTTCTACCATTGACACACCAATCGCTGTTCTTAAATTAAATTGACGCCATAATGTGGAGAATATTTAATTCCTTGTGTAAACATTTGAAACTGGTTGTAGAGATCAAAAGAAGAATTTTAGCCAAAGCAAAGCCTAGATTTGGAGAAAAGACCCAGGATCATACAGTTTTGTATTTGCCTTAATCTGTACAGTTTGAATTCTGGATTTGATTGTGTTGAGCATGATAAGGTTAGAAACCCATCAGTTTATTTTAATTCCAGAGAAGTTTCATTTTTCCAGAGTGTTAGATTTTGAAGAAAAGTAGCCTTTTGGGGGAGGGGCGGGACTGCCACATGTCAGTGAAATCCCCATTTATTTTTAAATTTCGATTGTCCCCCAAATGTAAAGTTGCTGTGTATTTTGTATATTGTGTTAAATTCAATTTTTGGCAATTGGGACCAAGAACATTCCTCCGTGAAACTTTTTCTAGAACTGGGGTGTGAAAATTCAGCTTTTTAGCTGATTTCATTTTTTTTTGTTGTTGAGATGTTGACCCCGAATTTCAGCTTTTTTGTATACCTGGTCTGTACAAAAGTGTGGGAACTATTTACATTTCAGCGCTAGCAGATTTCAGCTGTAATCTTAAGTGGCCGCTCACACCCCTGCTATTGCTAGAACCTTGGTTTTTTAAACTCACACTGCTTTATGATGGTTTTCCGACTTCATTTGAAATGAGATCCGGGTCAAAACATGAAATGTTCTAGCTACAGTAGTTTAATGGAAACATTGGCACCAAGCCCCCGTCTACCAAGGCTCGGTCCTTGCCGACAATTTGCATGACGGTGCTTCTGTTGGGCGTACCCCCACTTGATTTTGATGTCGAGATTACTCATTTTTGGAGCAAGTGCACATGTCCAATAAGCTTTCCAGTCAGATACTGCGTAGGAAAAGAACCCGTGTTAGGCAAATGTGCACAAGTATGTATTGTACATTAATCTTCAGTTATGCAATGTGCACTTTTATATTGTATGTAAACAGCATTTTTTTGGATGATCAGTAGGATGCAGTGTGTAAGTGTACAGTTTTCTTGAAGCATGATTATGCTGGCAGGTTTCTGTCTATGAGCACCGGTGCGTCAGCCTTAATGTAAGGGGAATTTCACATTTCTCTGAAATGCACCATTACACAACAGTGCCAAGCACAAATTGTTGATGCCAACTACCAGTGTGCGATAACAGGATTTTGTTGACCTTTGGTTTATGGGGCTTTCACACCCGCAAATGCTATTGTGTGGTTGCCCCAGGCCGGCATTGAAAAAAAGTTAGGCTTTACATGTAGCTGTGATGTTTCTACCAATTTGATACACCAGATGTGCGTTGTTTGTTCCTAATCCTTAAACTTATCTCGAAACATTTTCAAGTGGTCTGTCAAACCTTATTTACATGATATGTGTTTATGTGTTTTAACCACATGCCAACTATGAACATGGTCCATTCTATTATTTCTACATTACAATTTATTACATGCACATTGCTGATTTGATAGTTTCATTTTCAACTTGTTTCACACGTCATTAGTGTCTACATGTACATGTAGATGTACAACTTGATCGTACTCTGGCTTACTGTGTGGTCAGTTGTTTGGAGGACTCATGCAGGACGTTACTTTTGTTTGTACATCTTACTTTTTTTTCTTGGTTTTCACATACCCACTCTACTGGTGCATGCATGTGTAACACTGCAGAGTTTCAGCCAGCTAGGAAGAGAGTTGAGTGTCTACAAGTGTCTATGTTGAGTGTATTTGAAAGACAGGGCTTCACTGTCGGAGTTGCTTAGTGACAAGCTTTTACATGTACATGTAATCAAAACAATGTGTGAAAATGCCCATAGGGTGTTGCAAAGATGCCTGAATACTGTCCTGGCTTAAACTTTGTAATATGAGCAGTTTCTTTCTGTGAAAAATGGTTTTGTTCATGGTAGACACACATGTAGGGGAGTGGACTAATGTCGACGGTGTAGGTTCAAAAATCAAAATCTGCCAGGAAAAAAAGGAAAGAAATCAGTCAATAAAAATGTCTCTGATGAAATCAAAAGGACAAAAGCAGGACAAAAGTAATAGGCTATAGCTGAAAATTATAAAGTTGGGGCTGAAACTGCTGTGCTTATGTGGAGAGTTCACAATCCCGTACCTGTTTTTTATGCATGCCAAGCCCATCCAGTTCTGTACTCTCTAAAGTTTAGTCAGCGTTTATTTTTAGTAAGTTCCACGGTTTACCAATATGTATGTACAGGTACATATAGTCTCCTATTTTCTCCCCATGCGATGAGTCATCCAGTTTCATTTCAGATGACCGTGTCTCCCTGTATGGGACCCAAAGACCACAGGCTAACAGTGCTTGGAGATGCTTAGCCCTAATGCACACTACACATGCATATTATTTGGCCATATAAAAATATGTTTCCTATTACATGGGGGTTGAGGTGTGCAGGTAAAGTAACATATTATTTTGCTTTTAAATTGTTGAAATTACTGTAGTTGTGTGGTTTGGCAGGTGATAAGGCCGCATTCTTTGTATCATTTGTAAAATTCTGTAAACAAGTTCACCCTACACACCAGCACTGTATAATTAATTGCTGGTTGAATGGTTAAAAAATGTCTGAAAAGGAACAAAACTGTGGTACATGTACGTGTCAGCACAGAAAAATAAGAGCTAGCCACTTTTATGATAGCTGACACCACAAGTTTGTTTTGAGAATAATATCTTCTTCGAGAGAAAGCTGTAAGCCTGCATACTTGTCTTCATAAATATAAGTTGGGGTAACCAAAAGTTGGGACTACATGTACATATTTGGCCTGTGCTTTAGACCCTCCTGTCAGTATTATGCCTGCCCCAGTGTTTTGCATGCAAATGGACCCGTCAAATAAGCAGAACAGGCATTGTACTCTTGACCTGTTTGATCTGTTCGTGCAGGACCTTGCGTTGCGGAAGAAAACTTTCAGTCTAAAAACCATCACAAGGCTTTCCATTTTCCCTGAAAAGCTCAAATTGGCACTCACTATACTGTGCTCTGACCTTAACCCGGTGCACTTGGTCACCTTGGCCCGCAACCGGTTGGGCTGACCCTCACTGCTGAGTGCTGACCATCACTACATTCTCTGTGCATGGAGAGACACAGCAGTATTTTAAGTCTCAAGCCAGCCAAAAGGAGTATTTGTAAATGTTGACATCAGCATGTGCTGTGGTGTCACAAGAAAATGGTTTACTTACTTTACCTTTAATTTTAATTCTGGCCTGGATTGGTGTAGTCTGGTACCACGAACAAGCACTTAAAATAGGTCTTACATGTCTAAAATATAGTCTTTACATGTATACATATATAGACAACTAGTAGTGGCTATGGCCTATTGTTAAACATACTGATTTCAAAGCCAGGCTAACATTTCCTAAGACATCATCTGTTCCGTGTTTATCTTGCTAGTTGTGAAAGCAACAGATCAACACTAGTTCAAACTTTCAGAACAGGTTCATATTCTCCGTTTTAAGAAGGCCTAATTTCAGAGCTAAATCATCATGGCCTCAAACGGCTCTGTTGCAAGTTCCACTTACAGTGACGTCTATGTGGCTGTTTTACATGGAAGGAATTGCCAAAGAGCCTGTGTTGTGCTTTCACTTGCATTTCTAAGGGACATTCCCGTGATGTCTGCCACTTCCTCCTGCCTTTTGTGTTCACTTCCATGCCACATGTAGCTTGGCTTTGAAACCCAACACTGGTTTTCCTGGTTGACTGATGGAGACGGATTTTTTTATGCACATTCAAAGCAGGCTCAGTTTGAAAACAGTATACATGCATGACTGAAGAGAAACTTGGTTTACACTAGTACATGTAAACATATTGGCAAATGTGGAGACCTTATGATTTAGGGAAAATCTGTGAGCTTCAGTGGAACTTCAAAGTGACCTTTCCTCCCCTATAAATTCTGTGTAGCAGTTTAGACGAAATGAAGGCATCGGTGCTATGCGGTGCTGGCTTGAAAACCCATTCATTCATGCAGTCAGAGGGACATGCATGGTGCCATGAGGACTCCACAGTTTGTTTTTTTGCAAGTTTAGAAAGACGCCATGTGCATGTACATGTCTGCCCATGATCAGCTTGACCTTTACCACATGTGCAGAGTTGCCCCCCCCGTTCTGCAGCACACATATGCATACACCACACAAATGCATCGTATTCGTTATTTTTAATTATCAGTCTCTTCAAAATGATCCTCTTTCAAAATCCCGAGGATCAGTTACTTTCTGTGTGATTAATCTAGGAACAAGAAAGACGCTTTAAAATCAAGATGTTGTAGCTTGAACGTTGTTCAGTTGTCATTTTCAAGTGTATGTAAACAGTACGTGATGAACATCTGCTGTTCTTAGAGGATTTGGGCAAAAATCTACAAAGCATTTCTTTGTGTGAAACCTGTACATTTTGGGACTTAAAAGTTAAACTTACCTGTGAATGTAACCCAACTGACCCCAGAATAATAGGTTTATCACATGCATGTACAATGTCAATATGGGACCAGAACCATAAGCATAAGCATAAGGTTAAGTCAACCACATTAGTTTTCTGCTCAAAGTTTGGAGTAAGGCTGAGCTGGCCAATTTTAGGTACAGTGCATGTCTTAACAAGTCCTCAATAACAACCTGTTATTTATAGGTTTCACTGAACAGAAGCGTCCGCTGAAATTTGTTTCCTGAAATTTCTAAAAAAACTGCATAATTTGGACCAGTCTTTCTGGGTATCTGTCTGCAACTGAAAACAATATGAAATTTGTGTGATTACCTCCCACTGTAGGCTAGGTTAAATTAAAATAGATTTTTAAAAAGTGGAAGCTTTACATATTTACCTCTATCAAGCCACTTGTGATGAATCTTGTAACAAAAATTGTGCATTGAAAATGTATTTGGGAATTCAAGTTCCTCCATGTACCTGTACATGTCGTCACCGTTCTCACAAAGTGGCGTTAATGTCCAAAAAATGATTTTTTGTTGATTTCCATTTTTTTCAATATTCTCTTTTACAATATCGTGCTTGACCATTTTGACATGCTCCCACAAACAAAACATCCTTATTGTCATAGTTACATTAATGTTGCCAAGGGCAATTATCTTGAGAACTGAATTTTGCATTTTTACAAGAGACGCAATGCTTAATGGCCTTTGAACATGTACAAAACGTATTGCAAGGAAGCGGCTGAAAAATAGGATTTTCATTTTCACGAAGTGCGTTAGCACAATGCGTTAGTTATACAATGAATAGGACGTTCATGTACAAAAACGTAATTTTTGTTTTCACAAAGTGATGTTAACCTTTGCTAATTAATTTTGGCTAATTCACCCCTGTTTTCATACTAATTACTGGGGTGAGGTGAACAATTAGACATGAAAGAATCATGTAGGGGATTTCTGTTACATAACGTTGTAACAAAATACTTATTTTGGTAGTTTTTATAAAGGCCAAACTTCTCTGGTGATTATCTGGAAAACCTATTTTTCCTCAAAAGCCACATTAGCGACACTTCGTCGTGGTGGTGGTGGTGACTTTGTAATAACCACCTGCGTCATAAGCTTTCAAAAGCTGTCCTGTGGTACAGTTTACTCACCTTTATCTGTTTTTTTTTTACCATTTAATGCAGTTTGCAGTGTCATTTATTTTTCTTCTTGTGAATTACTTGTAACATGTATATGTGAAGATCCTGGTTCTTGATTTTAGAGGATAATCTTTGGCAAAATGTGCACGTTCAGGTGCAAAATTAGATAACATGTAACCGAGTCTTGACAAGTACATGTATGGTTATTTTATTGTGTTTCAGCTATTTACATACGACTGCTACAGATGTATTTTTGTAAAGAAAACAATTTTTTTATGATTAACCCACCCCTTGGGTGTATCAAAAATGATATTTAAATATTCTGTCCATGTATATTATATTTCCTCTTCACTGAATACAGTGTTTTGGCTGTATGGTCAAGATGGCTTCCATGTATTTTTGCAAAGAACCTAGTGGAAGTAATATGCACATAATTTGTGGGTTTTTTTTAATTCACAGTGACATAGCGACATATTTGCAAACGCTAAGCACTGTTGTTTTGCCAAGTGCTGGAGCAGTTACAGCTACAGAGTGGCCCCGCCTCCCCTCTGCCCTGGACTCACACCAGGAAATAAAAATAAATTCTAGCATGTTTACATATATGTCAGTATAAGTATGAGTGAGAATCTTTCAGGCACACGTTATGTAAATGCATGAACATTCCTGAAAAAAAAAGCCCTGTCATGAAATATGTAATTTTGTTCCACTTTCATAACTGCTGCATTTGGCCACTGCATGTTATCTATGCATTTTTGCAACTTGGATTATTTTGTACATACATCAATTTTTTTTTATTGTAGCTCGATGCGTTTTTGTAACTTTCTTTCATAATTTTTTACATGATGTAGTCAGGTATGCACATGTGCCACTATTTTTATGTTAAGGAAAGAATAAACAGATACATGTACAATCAGAATTTGTGTTTAATTCATGTGATCTAGAGTTCACCAATTCTCTGAGAGGCTCTATGTTGTACCATGGCATGATACAAAAACATTCTGATCCTTAGTACATGTAGTAAGCTATCATTAAACCAAATGACAAATTTAAATCAGGTAAATCTGATTTGATTTCTCTTATGTGGCTCCAAAGTCATCTAGAAGCAGTATCCACATCTAAAGCGAAACTTTGACCATACATGTCAAATCTTAAATACAACTAAAGTAATTATTTGACTTCAGTGGCAAAGGTTGATTTGCTTCTGCATGGCTTGCAGAGTGGCAGTGACCCAAGTTGAGTGGCACTTTGACCGTATCACTGGAAGAAGTAATGCCAGTGCGCATGTGTTATTTTACTCGGCCAGATGTGCCTCCTGTATCACATGCACTCGCTCAGGAAATAAGAGAGATTTCTGGATAGGATACAATGGACATTGATTTGGGAAAGCTTGGCTCCAGTGTGACAACAGCCAGGGGCGACTGTAAAGGAAATGACCAGATTGGAGGCTACCAATCTAAAGTATGACAACGAGCTGCTTTGATCAATTTCCTCCACAAGACAAATCTGCCAAAACTGAGCCTCAGTTTAGTGATCACTGTGTCAGACACAGATTTAGTTGCACAAAATATGCATAGCCTAAAACATCAATCACATTTAAAAAAATAAATGCGGACAGAGGAATGTCTTCTTTTGTCCTGTCCTTATGAGGAAACAACACAGAATGGTCGAAATTACTGGTTTTGTTTTTCATGTAAGTTTTGTATGTGCAAGTTGGTAGCCCTGACGGGGGGGGGAGGAACACTGTGGAACTATTTTAAAATCAGGCTAAAAATGCACCTGCGGTGAATTAGTGGGGAGCACGTGAGACGTCTACCAAAAATGCACTGCCCCAAAAATAGTGCGGCACCACCGTGAGTCAACACTTCCCAGTCCCAACAGTGCAAAGCTGGTGAAGGCGGCAAGGCTGTCGCAAAAATATGGCTGGCCTTGATTAACGGTTGGCGGGGGCACGGTGTACGTTGGTGATGTGGCAGTGCCACGGCAGTGTGGATATCTCAACCATCCATGATTTCCTGCAGGGTTCGTCTGCGGCAGTGTGCAGCAGGAAATGCAGAAACTGATGCAGATGTTGGTTTCACATTAAAGGGTGCTGACACAAGGGCGTGCCTTTCCAACACAGTGTGTTCAAGATCTGGTCGGCAGTATTCACCGTTATGTAAAAAAAACGAGAGAGGGCTCACTCGATCAAGAACAGGAATTGAGGCCGTCATATCCATCTGTGCCCGATGGAAGTTGACCTGCCGGCCCTAGAGCAGGATTCAATTGTGATCTCTTACCTGCTTGGGCCCAAAGTTTATTAGAGAATTAATACATGTATGACACTGAAGTCTGTTTAGTTCAACAGGGCACAGCCAAGCTTGGGCTTCTGTGATTGTGAGTATAGGCTCTGTTATTGTATCTTTCTGAAGCGCCGGGGCTGGGAGTGAGAAATCTTGGGGAAACTGACAGTCTGGGCGGCAGTGTTGAAGTAAGAGTCCATCGCAGCTTCACAAGTCCCTTCACAAGTCCAGTCCTAAGGACCAAGGCTCAGGTAACGGGGACGAACAGTGACACACGAATGCTTTAGTCTTGGTTCATTTGAATGGCTTCTAACTTGGCTCTAGACTGGATGACCTGTGATGGGTGCGACTACAACACTAACGGGTGGGTAACTGCTCAATGGGGGGGGGGTGATGACACATACACTTAATAGCTGTGTACATGAATGCGTGTTGTGGGGACTGGGTACCCTACTGAAGTAAAACATGCAACTATACATGAAATCAACCCTTAAATTCAAACAAAGAAGAAGCAAATGTGAAAAATGGTTCAACTAGCCCATTCTATCTTTAATACCCAAAATACTCATCGCTTACGACCTCTGGAGACAACTAATGGGATAGCTGTGTCAGCATAAAACATTACCCCGGTTCTATTTCAAATTTCCCCTCAAGTACTTGTTTCAACCAGTAAACCTTCAATCAGTGCTTGGGGAATCCGGTTCTAATACTCGGCCTCAACATTTAATGGCTAATCTAAGATCAGTGCACACTCAGGAATCGCGCTGATATGGCCAAACACATTTTTACTAACAAAGCCCTTGGGCCTTTTGCAAATTACCATGCTGTCACAGGGATTTTGTGTTATCAGGAATGGAGAATGCAAAATTCAAGGACTGGGGACCAACAACTTCCTCGTTTTAAATGTTGCGCTGACAATCTTCTTTATGATCACGGTTTCACCCTGACAAAGCTCTGCATGGCCACTTTACAAACTAATTGGCCCTTGATGGCTCTTCTGAACAACGGCCAGCACTGTGGTGGGTTTCCCGTGTGCCCAGTGCTATTGTGCTCGGAATAATACAGAGATGTTTTCAAGGTTTGTGTGGTGAAGGTAGAAGTGAAGCAGACGGTTTGAGGTCGCAAATCTCTTTTTATGAGTCAATTTCCGCAGAGCTAGTCCACCTGTTGCAAAGATACAGCTTCCTTGTTCAAAATCCAAAATTAATTTACATCTCCCCAGTGCAAATCCATCTTTGAAACCACTTCAGAACCAATGCCTAAACACCTAAATCTTTCACACTTGGGCCCTAGACTATGGCTCTGTAGTTCCATCGTACAGATGACAAGGCACAAAAAATAATTTAGAAGCCTGTAGGAGGCGAAGGATAAAACAGAAGAGATAACACAAAGTGAACACGGATGTAGTGAAGATCGCATGAAAATTTTTTAGAAACAACTTACTGAAAACAAATTGTGTGCGTTCATTATTTGAACTGTAAAAATACAATACAATATTTCTGTACTGGGCTGATCTGTGTGCTCAGCTGGGCTGACATGAGACCGAAGACGGAAAATCCACTTCTAAAATAACAAGGATGCAAAGGTTCCAATGGGCATGCCACAAGAAACCAGGCTTCGCTCAAATGTAAAAACTGCAGTGCGCTGCTGAAAAACTGTCGGTAATCATCTGCAACCTTCTTTTTGCTGATTTCCAAGAGAAAATTCTCGGTTCAATTCATTTGATTCCAAATTCTATAATATTCCCTTCATCCTATTCCTCTTTCAAATGCAGAATTTCATCACTGTATCTGGTGATTTGTGCAGTGCAAGGGTGGATGTAGGGTCATTAATTTGGGGGGGTCCAAAAAAAGAAAAAAAAGAGAAAGTTGTCTAAGATTTTATGTTGGAGCTATTTACCTGCTTTTGGAGTGAAGAGAAGTCAAAAAGTTTCCCCAAAGTTGACCTTTTTCTCACCATTTTTCAAAAAAACAAAATACAATTTTGTTGGCAGGGGGCATGGCCCCCGAGTCAACCCCCCCTAGAAGACAGACTTCAAGACGTTTCCAATTTCCTTTCTAGTTATATTATTTATTATTATTATTACACAACTCCCAAGCCACAAGTTATGCCACGTAAAATGACGCGACTGTGAGCCAAATATGTTGTGGACTTTGAAGTATAACTACTGTGAAAAGATTGTCCAATGTAATTTTGTTGTACAAAGTTGCACAGCAAAATGTTGCGATAGCAATGTCGTGCAGTTATGCTAGGTTTTGTAAAATTGATTCCCCCCACCACGGTGCATTGAGTGCTCTCAAAACAATCTACAATGCATCTCTTCAGTGCATCGGCAAATGAACAAAGTTTGCAAGGGACTCTTGGTCATGGCCCTGCAAAAGAGATGACCTCATCTAATCCTATTGTTCAGTCCGGCCATGTTCCTTCCCTGAAATGAAACAAAGAGAGAGAGAAAAAAATGAAAATTTAACTCACACAGTGGTACCGGGTCTGCTCTGAACACAAAAATGAAAATGAAATCAAAAATCTGAAATGCTGGACTGAAAGAGAAATCCCTTCTCTTTCAACAACTTCTGGGGGAAGTCACTTTTTTATTGGGGGGAAATTTCCAAGAGGGAAAGGGGAGGAAAAAAAATGCTTGCCAGCTAAGGGCTGATAAGCAACAGCAAGTGGGGGTCAATGGTGTGGAGGTCAACTTAGAGGGGTTGGTTTTCAGCAAATCAATGATTTGAATCCCTTTTGTCTCTTATTTTTTCATTTTCTTCGCTTCCCCCCTTTTATGTTTCATGGGGGGGGAAGCTTCGTCTTTGCCATCTTTCCTCAAGGTGTCCATGAAATTTTGTTTGAATGTATGGTCTTCGCGCGTGCGGACAGTGCATGGATGAGCCAAGTTGGAAAAAGTTTGCCTCAAGCCTGTCTCTTCTTTGGGTGCACTTCAACATGAGGCCAATAATTTTCCGTCATTTCAAGATTTCACATGGGGGGAGAGGTACATCCCCATGGTCTCACCTACCCCTTCCCCCTTGGTTACGCCACTGATGACAAGAAATCTTGAAAGAACAGGGACGAAGGCAGTTAGTTATTTGTCAAAGTTCATCTTCTATACTTTGTGACAGGTTTGTGACTGGTTGGAACTGCAACTCTACTGCAAAGTGCAGTGAAGTAAAACTAATCCTACACAATCAATAACTGTTTTTTTTTTTTTCCTGGGGCAAAAGCTGCGGGGAAACGGGACCTCAAGTGGCGTGCTGTATGATACCACAAGTGAAAGCAGTCAGTGTTTGTTTTAGAACACCTCATCCACAGCTTCTATACCAACCACAAGATCTCTGATTCAGTGTATGAATTAACACAGAGATTCTTTTTTCAAGATGTATTTTTTTTTTTTTTTTTTTGTGTGATGTCCTTTGATAACAGAGATTCTTGTTGAACCAACAAAACGCCCTCCCCTCAAAAAAACAACCCCCACACAATATACACCAAACCAAAACACTACCTGGAACACAAATAACAACAAAACAACTAGCATCTTGGTTGAGTACGGAGGTTTAGTTCTTTACGGGTACAGGCACCATTTCACCACTCAACTTCCAACCTTTAGACCTGGATCTGTCCCTGTAGCGCATATACATTTAAGCATTGGCCAGTGATACAATCAAAATACATAGACTAAGGAAGGATAAGGTGTAAATTTATTTTAGCATATTCAAAGAAATGTGTTTTGGATGGGATGCAAAATAAATTGACTTAATCGTGGAAATGAGTCAAACCATCAGTCAGACTTTTCAATAAAAACCGAAAACTAAATTCCGAAGAGGAGGAAATTTATGGAGGCTGATTTCCCTGAAAAAGTGATGTCCTTTGATAACAGGTATTAAAACAGAATTATAATATATTATGGCATATGATCAAGGACTTACAACGGTAAAAGCTGCAGTCATTAATGAAGCGACCCCAGTCACAGCTTGTTCGATCTAAATATAAAAAAAGAACACACACACACACAAAAACTGTGACCCACCATTTCTAAGCCAGGCTGAAGAAGCTATTACACGTACATGTACGTGTAATGGAACACAGTCAATCCTCATTAACGAGAGGTCCTTCAGACTTTGTATGTTACCTCGTTATAACAGGAACCTTGTATAACCAGGCATGAAAGCGATGAAGAGCTAAGGATTGGGACCTAAAAATGTCCTTGTTATGAACCAAATGTTGTAAATGATATAAACAGTGCTCTTATTAATGAGGTTTGACTCTATTTCAAAAATTACACCAATCAGCCCACAACTGGACCAAGAGAGGGTGCAGTTTTATTGATCAAAAAAACACAAAACAAACATACCTCCGGAAGTGAAAGCATGAATCATACAAAATGAAGGAAATTGGAAAAACAGGAGATAATTAGAAAATATCATAAAAGAGGGGGCCGTGAAGAGATGTAGAAAAATGGTCACTATACATGTACATGTACGTGTACATTTGAAACGATTGCAAAGGGTCTACAGAATTAGAATTGAATTTCCATTTTTTACAATAAAAACTAAGGGTTTGATTTTTTCACAGCAATCTTATGTTCTATATCGTACTGATTTTGTAATAATAATCTTAACCCCCAAAAGAAGGGAATTTGCGTCTGGAATTTGCAAATATGTAATTAAAACTTAGTACAAAGAAAAACAGAAGTAAAGAAATTGTTATGGGGAACACCAAAAAAGAATTCAAATTTCCCAAACTGAAGAGGGTCTTTGAGATTTTGATTGATAAAAGACACAGAGAGGGTACAATTTTCTTAGCAACGGAGGCTCCTTTGGTGGGAACAGCACTTTGCTTGTTCGCAGTCGACTATGAAATGCATGTATTATGGTCGCGTCACTACTAACAAAATGAACACTTCCAACCAACATGGCTCTTTCCAACCGATGAGGGTGCCCTTCAGCTCAATGCAGATAAGCACAGGGACTAAGCTATCTCCACAACTTTCACCGACAATAAATGCTGTTCAGTGCTTTCTGCAGACCACATTTGTATTTTAGATCACTTTGAAACTTCAAGTTTGGGGGAAAGGCCTTGTCAAGCATCAATATTACCTGCTTAATCCTGGTTACCGAATGGTAGGTCACACACATTAAACCTGACATGGTTCTTTGTAAACTGTTAATCCAAAACTCTGCTCAATATAAAAGAATACCAAGACATTGCAGTGCTCTGCGTCAATTATCTAGGAGTGTTCAAAATGTGAGTTCTGTTTAGACTATGCGCAACAATATTCATATCACTTTGACTGTTGCAATGGCGGTGTATGACTTGTTTTTGGAAAAAATAACAATAATAATGACACAGTATACTAGTATAACATGGTTTGGGGGTGGACACTTGACATGGTTGATTTTGTTGCTTGGATATTGGAAGTTGACAAATTAGTTCCAGTGGCAAAGCCTATGGTGCATTGGTGTCTAGGGCCAATGGGACAATGGTGTCTAGGGCCTATGGAACAGTGGTACATGTATCTGGAGCCTGTGGAGCAATGGTATCTGGGGCCTATAGAACAGTGGTGTCTGGGGCCTATGGAACAATGGTATGGTACCCAGGGCCTATGGACCACTGGTGTCTGGGGCCTACAGAGCAATGGTGTCTGGGGCCTACAGAGCAATGGTGTCTGGGGCCTATGGAACAATGGTGTCTGGGGCCTACAGAGCAATGGTATCTGGGGCCTATAGAACAGTGGTGTCTGGGGCCTATGGAACAATGGTATGGTACCCAGGGCCTATGGACCAGTGGTGTCTGGGGCCTATGGAACAATGGTATGGTACCCAGGGCCTATGGACCACTGGTGTCTGGGGCCTACAGAGCAATGGTGTCTGGGGCCTATGGAACAATGGTGTCTGGGGCCTACGGAAAACTTAATCTGGCCTTGCAGGCATCATAGCAGCACATACTGTTCCTTGGAGACTTGTGACAGAAAAATGGTTACAAGTACTCACGTCAGACCGCATCTTGTACATCTGCCCAAATTCCTCCAACCTTCTGTTGATGAACATCCAGGTGTCCTGGTAGTCGGTGGATTCATCCTGTATCAGACAGAGTTCGGCAGTCTTGTATACGGCCGCCAGAGAGATGCGCTTGGTGTACCAATTGAACTGGCCAAGGTGAAGAGGAAATGTACAGTCACTTTAAGTTCATCGCAACTTATAACACACTGCCAACGCCTGTAGAGCTAAGAGAACAGCAGCCATGTTTGCCAAAAGGAACACAGTTACGAACTACCTGCAACTCCATCAGTGTTTTCCTTATGATAGTAATACCTTTACTAACGTTTGGACAGTGCTACAGATTTCTAACTTCAACAGAAATACAGGCCTTTTCTGCAATTTTCCCACACTGTATAACTAGGAGTAAAGAAGTTATACTCCTTGGAAAAATTCCATGTCTAGCCGTAGTTTACAAATGTACAGTATTTACTGCCGACCTAAAAGAAACCAGGATGCCCCTTAGTCCTCTAGTTGGAGTTTACTCGTCAACAAATTGAACAAAGACATTGTAAGTCAACAAACTGAACAGTCAGGTGCGTGCACCTCCAAGTGTGTCTTCTGCCTGAAAAGATACAGGATTCCATTATAATGACTGTCAAGAGTGGAGTCATTCTTTGGTACTTATCAATGACAACAATGTCAAATACACGTCACCTTAATAGGGGTGTGAGTGGCCACTTAAATCAGAGCTGAAAATACCTAGCAAAAAGCTGAAATATGAGAAGTCCACATACATGTATGGGTATACACAGCAATTGCACGAGAAAGCTCAAATTCAGGGTCAAAACCTGAACAAAAATCCTGAAATCAGCTAAAAAGCTGAATTTTCACACGTCTGCTTTAAACCCTGTTGTTTTGCATAGATACAATGCTGAATTTTTGGATTGGAAAGTGTATACGTCTTATTGAAACTGAATGCGAGGTTGTGAGGTCTCTGACACGAACACAAACATTCTAGTCTCTTTTAAAAAATGTCTTCCAGAATTTGAAAATCCTCTGAGATTTACATGTATGCAAGAAAAATCCTCTTTGGGTAAACACAATCCGAGCCTAACTAGTCCAAAGGTAAAATTGGTAAAAAGGGTAGTTTCGAGGATGTGGAGGTTTTGGAAAATTAATACTCACGTCGGAAGATCTGTCACCGGCGTGGTACCATATGTCGTCCAGTAACTGCATCAAGTTGCTGAAGTGTTCCTTGGTGTTGGCCGGGAGAGCACTCATGGCCATCGCCTGGGGCCACTGGTCGATAAAAGGAATAATCATCCTCAGACGTGCCTCCAGGGCATCCCGGATGAAGGGGATAGTCCTCCTGCGCCTTGGGAAAAGGATGGCAAGTTGACCAGAATTCAATCAGGACTTCTAACCCTTGTTGTCTGAAGAGCCACTGACTACATAAAGACGTTTGAAGCTCTTCGTATACCTGGCAAGATATGGGACGGAGGGGTACCCCCCTTACATGTCAAATCCCTATACAGACTCTAGACTATTGTTACCTAACACATCCCCCCCGAGAAGTCTGTAAAGAATTCCCGTCCCATATCTTGCTTCAAATGGCTCTTTGGAGGGTGCGGCAGAGAAACAGTTGAACTCACTGTGTCAATTTTGGGCCAGCTGGTTTCAATTGTTTAACGCCAACCCTGCCAGACCCAGCAAAGTGAATTATACACTGTTGCAAAAAGGCAATCAACAGCAGCCACCTTAACTGTCCATGTTGAGCCGATGGGAGCCAGTCCCATTTAGTGATAACCCTGGCAGGTTCTGTGGTGGCTTGCTACAATGGACCTCTAGAATAACCTTGGAGAGAGTGAACCTATTGGATCTTGTTGCACTGGGCAGGCAAGCCACCTTGACAAATGGTGCAGACAGAAGTCTGGTACTCTGGAAGGTTAGCTCTCACCTTCCCACATCCTTCAAAATCTACCAAATACATGATTTTTACAAGGCATAAATCTGAAACATTCACTATTTCCAGAAAATGTAAAATGCAACTTGCAAAAATACTGCAAATTGCTTGTTGCTACAGTGACCAAACTATTAAAAAACTGAAGGCTGGACATTTTGATTGAAATGAAATCTTTCTCAAGAGTAAAAGCCCAACTTTTTGACATTTACTACTTAATTTAACGCTCAACAAACTTTTGAAAAAAAATTTCTGTATTGTTTATAAATGTTACTT